ATTCAACATCAAGTGCAGGTAGCTGCAGCAGTCAGCTGCAATCAGAGGTTAAATGCCTGTAATGACTTCAGTTCTAAGGTGTTTGCACCGGTCGTCTGGTGAAAGGCAACCTGTCTCTAAACAATCATGGCCTAACTGCACGTACTCTCAGATTTGTGAGCTGCCATGTAATTTGTAAACGCAGACAGACTGCCATTTTGCTATCAGTCTGAGTCACCAATGAGTGCAGCACATCTGCAAGAGTGCCTGTGTCATTTTACAAATTGCTTTCCTGCAGCAACTACATCACTATTTGTGGAGGAAAGCAACAGATTTACTACAGTTTCTCACAGTTAATAAGCATATTTTTACTAACAGTGACAGATTGTGTGTAATTGCCAGCTTCACCCCATTCAGCTGCAAACTGATAGCACACTGAGTCAGTCTTATTGCTGTTTTTCACCATCATGACGCACCAAAGTCACCTTGAAGACAGCAACTGAATCTGAGTGGTCTCAGACCTGGTCTCTGTCTTTGAAGCAAATGTTATAAAAACAAAAAAAACACAAAAGCCTAATTTCACGTGGTTGCAATCATTTGGTTGTGCCATGCTCTTCCCTTGTCTCACTGTACCGTATGTGGATATACCTATTTTCTCAAATTAACTCCAAACAGCACAGGGAGAATGAAGTCATCTCCAAAGTCCCTTATTACCTCAAGTGTTGCATGCTTGAGGTAATAATCAGTTTCAGAGACATTCTCACTATTGGAAATGTTTAGGCAAGGGAGCTGCTTTGATAAATTGTGCAGGAGGACAGACACAGAACCCCAACTTGTACACTGTAAAGTCACCAAAGAATTATGAATTTACAAATTAGACTTTATACTATGGAGCAAGAAGGTCTCTAGTACCTAGGCCCCTGGCTAGTATCCACTCTGACAGTATCCCATATTTGCACTTGCTTCTTTCAGATGCCTAGAAAAGTAAACAATTTGTTTACTCCCAACCCTATTGGCTAGTTTAGTACACTTTCAAAAGAAAAAGAAAACAACTCTAACCCAAAATGATCTTAGCCATGAACAAAGCCTGCAACAAAGGTCCGGACCGTCAAAGTCCGGACTTGAATCCTATCCAAAGTTTTCGTGTGACATCAGAGCTACTGGGACACGCCCACTTGACAGTATTGCAGTTCTTTACCCTCCAGCTATACTTTCAACCTTTTCAAGTTTAACTCAGCCAAAATGCCAGATAGTTGCTGTGCTATTGGATGCGCTAATCAATGCACTAATGAACGTTTATTTATAGCTGCCAGAATGGTGTAGAAAATGGCACCAACATGTGAGCAAACCTCACCTAAACCTGCCAAATGAGGACAAATTGCATCAATCCCTGCTTCTTAACAGCAACTCAGGCTGTCAGTGGTGTCTCATTTAAACTGTAGGGATGATTTACCTGACATCAGAAAAATACTTGCTCAACTTTACTCTTATGACACAACAGTAATGTGATGATTAATACTACCAGAACTTTTCTGGTCCTACACTGTGAATGTCCAAGTCAACAAAACTAAAGATTTACATATAGTAGTTTGTTTGAGTTAGCTAGGTAACACTTACAATTACCTCCAGATCGAAAATTCATGTAGCTATCCTTACTTTAAAAGCTTTCATCCAGGCAGCAGTGTAGGGTGAATTTTCTTTTTACATACACATACAGATACAGGTAGACATGACCAAATGGGTACTCTGGGAAAGACAATGCTACTTTTAGGGATTCAATAAACCTGCCAGGTTATGGATGTAGTTTCTCTTCATATCTTTGTTTTTCCTCCATGGATAGATAATAATTGACGGCTAGGATGATGAGTCGGTCACATGACTGAAAATTTTGAATTGAGATGCTTTGACATGACCTTAAGCAGTTCATTCATGCTCAAAAACCCGCCAGTGTAGCTGAATTAAAAGTTTCGCAAAGAAGAATTCAATGTGAAAGGCTAATTTCCAATTATTGCTTGATTGCAGTTCCTACTACAAAGGGTGGAACAACCAGGTATAAGGGTCATGGAACAATTACTTTTTCTGACTGCCACGTTTACAAGTCTTTTTTTGTTGTGTGTCTTCAGGGTTGGTATTTGCACCTTGGTCTTTTCTCATTGACGCCTATCCCCTAAAGTAGCATACTGTGGTTTATTTTAATGTAGATGATAACAGTAGATCATATCCTACTATCAGCCACAGTCATTCCTGTTGTCTGTCTTAAAAGACTGTTGGTCACAATTAACACAGTGTTACAATTTAAGAAAAAGAAACTTATGCAAAAATATAAATCTGTTGCTGCTGAAATTTTAATTTGGTGCCAAAGGTTATACAGTCCTGTTATTAGTTACCAAGCGGTGGTAAAATGATACTAAGACTTACATAGAAAGTTACATTTATAGGCTATCACGAAAAAGGTTTTCTAGCATTTCCTAAATCTACACTTATAATAATGGCATTCCATTTACAATCAGGCCGTGCATTTTTATTGCAGTCTGCACTGTTATGGCATAAAAACAGGATATTCAAGTTTTTAGATTGATTGTTAATAGAAATTCTAGAGAGACTTTACTGTGTGATTTAATTATTGCTTCTAGTGAGTGGATACCTCAGGTCAAACAAATTTTAAATGGTTTGTTTTTGGCTCAATCCTGAAATTAGAGCAATTAGAGTTGCTGCTGGAGGTTATCATTGGCATTTTATTGATTGTGTGTCTGCTAGGTTAGTAGAAACTAGGCTAGGTTAGAGGCAAAAACTAAAAATCACAGGCAAAGGAAGAACCACAGTCCATATTTTAGGTGTAGCTCAAGATATATGTTTAAAACATTACCCACAGGCCTCTCCGTGGGGCTCAAAAGTGTTAGAGGGCCACAGAAGGCTGGCAAACTTCACTCTTTTCCCCCCAAACAACAAGTGAACCATTTGCAATGGCATCTTAGTTGGAAAACTCACTACAGGGGCCCCATGTAGGGATGTGTGCAAAGGACACCAGCTGCCTCAGAATGTGAGGATGATATAGAGGCCTAATAAGCATTATTGTCAGCTGATTTTTTAATGTTTTATGTATGTAACTGACGTGGCAAATATCATGTCCTTTGATCCATTTTCAGGTAGTTATAGCAGAAAAGGACATAAAGCAGGACGGAACCCTTGAAAAGGTTTCAAAAACTCAGTTCTGTCGAAACCTTTTTTTTAATTTAGCTTTAAAAGCTGTTGCATATTGGCAAAATGGGTTAACTCTATTTTTGATCTTCTTCCATTTACTAGCCTGAGGTAACACAAACGCAATTTCCTACACATAACCAATGCTGTCATTGACGAGCTATGCTCCACACAAAGAATGTTTCTGCGTTATATAAGGCATAGTGGGAGAAAGTAGGTAAATATGTCAAGGGCTGTCCATTTATCCCTCTGTCTTTCTGTTCTTTCCATTCCCAGACAAAACACCCACACACGCACCTCAGGCACCTACAACCCTCATTTTACTCTTTGTGTGTGTGCGCGTCAGTGTCCTTTGCCCTATGTAAGCTCTGGAAGGCATTGCTACAACAAACAGGGTGGCTTAGAGACAGGAAGAGAGCATAAAAAGAAAGCCTAAGTAAAAGAAGTAAGAGGGTGATTTTTCTCCCTTCTATTCCCATGGGTCTTGCAGCACGGCTTTTCACTTGAGTTGCCACATTTCATTTCCTGCTGTTCATATGTGTGTGTGTGTGTGTGTGTGTGTGTGTGTGTGTGTGTGTGTGTGTGTGTGTGTGTGTGTGTGTGTGTGTGCATTGTGTGCATTGTGTGCATGTGTAAGCTATGTGAAGGTCTTGCTCCACAGTGGTGATTTATAGCGGCGGGCTTCGGCCCTATCTGTTTTCGATCAGTCTCATGCTTGGCTCTGGCTTTCCTCCAATGCTCCCCTGGCCCACCGGACACCGAGTCTGGGTGGGACCCCTCTGCAACTGCCTGGAACCGGTACCACAAATAAGCTCTCCCTACTCCTCCGTTCACCACTTCTCAGGCTCAGCCTGCTTTTCTCCCGCTCTCCCCTTTCACTAACTTTCTCCCACTTTATGTACACAATTTCACAATCACTGTCCAGCATCACGCGCAAACACATCCAGCCACTCTTGCTTATTCACTCCCACTGTCTCTCGTCCATTGTCTCACTCTTGTTGTTTCTTGCTCTCACGCTCTCGCTTACCATCTGACACCAGCTTTAAGTACTCAATCTCATGCAAACATGCAAACACTCTCACATGCACTGGGCAGTCACAGAAACTCACATGGATCACATTGACTGCCTCCAATTCTCTTTGTCCACTGCTGATGTCATGTTGGCTAACACCTTTCATTTTTTATGATGCTGCATTCAGAATGTGCAGGCCTGCAAGTTTTACTTGTGTAAATTCAAATTAAAGTTGTCATCATGATTGGGAGGAGGGGGGAAAAGTCCTAGCATTTGTGTCATTGTTGGCAAGGGGCCACTTGTTGTAGTACGAGCAATAAGTTCTGGATTTCATTTGTTTCCTTCAGCTTTTCTGCTGCTCTGGAAAGGAATGCAAACTTCATTGTTCATTATGGGAAATACTGTCAGCAGGTTCCCAGAAACCTTACACTAGAGTAAGCTACAATTGTGCAAAACTCTGTCCTTGTTTGTGTATATCTGTCTGTGATTGTAAATGTTAACTGAAACAGGAAGTGACCTGTCAGTCAAGTGCTCGCTCCAGCGCTTTCTCCCAGCTGTTGGTCCATATGCACACACAAACAAGCCCACAGACATGTGCACAGACACACAGACAGCTGGTCTTCCTGTCTCTGGTGACCTTGGCTGGGCTTGGAGGCTCCTCATGGGTTTCACATTCACTCATCCCCACATCCTCTTCCATCTGAACGAGCTGCCAGCTCATCCTCCTTCTTTTATCCTCTCTTTACAATTCCTTGCATTCTTTTAATGCCTTGTACTCCTTCCTTTCACTTTCACCATGGCCACAGAGTAACAAACGTATTGAATCCCAACCCACGGGCATTTCCTGCTTCCGCAACACTTTCAGGTCAGTGATATCAGAGTCCAGAAAGCTTTAAAATGGTGCTGTTGTGTTCAGCTGGCTAGAACTACAGCAAGTATTGTCCAGTTTCACTTGTTAGACCACAAAGGTGCCTCGGCCAGGCCATTTGGGACATTTCCTCATTCAAAATAATATAACAAGAACCTTTTTTCTGTGACTAAACTTCCTTTGAGGTTCAGCTGGGTCTATGTTTGAAGACATAAAAACTGGAGCAGGATACCAGTGAAGTGACGGTGCTGTTTTCCATCAAAGATGAAGTCATAGACACTCTGTTGATATTGGTGGATGCTCCGTTTGTGTCTCTGTGTTTGTGTTTGAGAGTGAGAAAGAAAGGGGCTGTGTGTGTGTTTCCCAGCAGACGCTTTGATAGTGCTTGGACCTGCCAAAACACAAGTAACTGTCAACTATGTTTGGTGACGAAATGCCAGTTTAGGAGCTCACACTTGTAGGCACACAAATGGACACAGTTGGGCACCCACATAGACAAACACTCCTTGGTATTGTCTTAATGTAAGTGGCTAAGGAATCTGTATTCATGAGATTTCAACCCTTAATTATGAGATCCATAATAACCTTTTTCTCTTTTCTCTTTCCTAATGTCATTCCTTTATTCTGTTTTGCCTCTTTTAACTCTTTATACTTTTCTTTGTGTCCATTTATCTATTCATACTAACATCTTTTTTTTTAAATCTTCACCTCCCTCCCTTCCTCCCCCCCTTCTTGACCCCTCCAGCCCAAAAGGGTCTGCTCCACCTAAGCCCAGATGTCTATCAGGAGATGGAGGCCAGTAGAAAGCAAGGTGGCAGTGCTCCGGGCCCCGGGAGCACCAGTAGCAACTCCGTTAACTACATGGCATCAAAAGACATGGGGCCCTGCTCTGCCCCGCTACCCCCAGGACACCCTTCTTATTACAGTGGCTCATCCTCCTCACCCAGCCCAACCGCTACCATGGCCAGGGAGCTGCTGCTGAATGGTCAGTCACCCACAGCCGAAGCCTCACTGCCCATGAAGGGGAAGAACCTGGCCTGTGGTGTCTCGGTGCAGCCAGCACAGCAGCTGGACTACCTGGCTCGCATCCAGGGCTTCCAGGTAAGATGCAAAAGAGGTGAACCTCTAAAATTTCTGTACATCTAAAAAATAATTTTTGTTACATGGTAAGTGGCCTGTGTTATGCCCTACTTTTGCAGTCTTACCAAACATTTTTAATTGGCAGTAATATAGGTGAATTCATTAAATGTGTCACTCTGTCACTGGAAGTACCTCAGCATAGTTAGTACAAAGTTCATATAAGCCTTAATAAGTGAGTGGCATGATATAACAACATTCTGTTTACAGCCTCATTGGTTGTCTGACAGATTTTGTTTCATTTCCATTGGACACCCTCTCAGATCTCAACATACAGTTTGTTATTGGCGCAGAATAAAATAGGATGTTGACATCTTTGCTCCTAGGAAAAAGTGGTGCTTGCCCATTGATTACATTAAAATCTTTAGCATTTTTGAGGCAACCAACTGATTGCCCAGAGAATATAACACTCTCAACCTCTGGGCAACTACTTTTGATAGCAAGGTGATTGCACAGGTCACCTAGTAGGAGGAAGCCTGTCTCCAAATAAAACACCTGAGTCAGCAACCCAGTATCACACCAACATGTGTAATAGACACGCTGGTCCACCGTGTCCATTTCACGCTTTGCCTCTCCAAAACATGAAACGGAAACTGCATTTCCAGCAGGGGAAGATAATATCTTTAAAGCCAACAAGTTGCTAGTGAGCAAAAATCATATAAAGTATGTTCCAGGGTCCTTAATCATCAGAAATGATTAAGCTAGGCGGCTAATATGTATATACATGTAAATATGTTATTAATATCCGTTTAAACACTTTCCCGTGATTTTTTTGTATGTTGGCTTGAAATAAAATATCTCTCTCTGCTGTTATTGCAACTTCTGCATACAAGTCCATTTCACATTTTTGAGAGGCAACACGTGGAATGGACACTATGGACTAGCATGTCTATTACACACTTTGCTGGATATCTGCTCGGAGTCGGTCTCTACCAGTGAGCATAACCAGTTTCTGTCTTTCTTTGCAATAGGGGACTCGACTCAACTGGTTACCAGCTGGTTTTATTCTGGTTATATTTCTATCAAAAAGGAAGGTTGTCACCCATGTCATTTTGTTGCTAAATCGTCATCCTGTAGCTACTGCACCGCTATATATAGAGGAATTTCTGCTCCAGATCTATGAGGTTCTGGCTGGACTCCAAATGCAAGTTGTTAATATGAAATTCTGTTTAATGTGAATTTCTGCATATGTAGGTGCCAACAGATTTGAGGTTTTCACTGATTTTTCACAGTTAATCGCCATATCATTACAAACAGATTGATGCATCAAGACAGCAGCAATTAGACAGAGTCGGTCTGCTGCTATCAGTCTGCAGTTAAATGGGATCGAGATGGCAATTACATGCAATATGTTTGTGATAATATGGCAATTAACTGTGATAAATCAGTTAAAAATCAAATCTTTTGGCATCTACATATACAGAAATTCACAAGTCGCTTTGACGATGCCAACTGAACGCAAGCGAATCTGATCACCATCTTTGAAGCAAATGTTTCTAAGTTTAAAAAAAAAGTTAAAAAATCTGAATTTTCCTGTTTTGCTCTGTGAACTTTCTTGCTGCTTTAACCTTTATTATTCTTGTGGAATAAAGTCTTGTCATTTAAACTGGATTCAATTATGTCATAAATGTAATAATTCCAACTAAAAAAAGTTAAAGACACCCCCCCCCTTCTCCTCCAGCACTACACCCATACAGTAATCACACATGACATGACAGATGTTAGCATGACCATGCATAAATATGATCAACAACTGTGTCCAAATTCTTCTCCCTCTAGAACAGTGCTGCAAATAAAAATGTGTTCTTCATCAGCCGTGTGTTTATAAAGAAGATATTTGGACAGTTAAAAAGAAAAATGAAAATACACATTTAAAGTATGTGCTAGAGGTTGCCGAGTCTACAGTATCTTAGAGTCATCACAGCGGTTGTCCTACAGCACAGTGGGACTTGTGTGTGGAGCGTACAACCTAGAACTGCTCGATAACACCCTATCCATTTTCTGTTTCTCACATTATTGGCACGCCGAGGATTTAAAACTGGAACTAAACCTCACAGGTGTTTCTGTCAGTACTAGACTGGACGCACACATACACTTGCTCTTAGGTCTCTGTGCGTCCAAGAGGGAGACAACCCGCTGTCTGTTTTAATCTGTCCTGGCCGATCTGCTGCACATACCTCGCCACTGATACCAGCGCCTGCTCATTTAAGCTGCAGATGCTTTTTATCAGTTTGAGCGAAAACATTTTATCTTAACCTGCTGAGGGTTCCTTTGAAAGGCCTTTGTTATTGCTCTGAGCCTTCCTGTGTGTGTGTAACCTGAGAGAGCTCTGCTGCCTGGCCAAGCCCAGACACACTTGTACATATGCGCAAATACACACACACACACACAGCAGGTTCTGTTTAGTGGAAATGGAAGAGCTGGGCAAAGCCTGTGTGTAAAGTTTAAATTGGTGTTGTTGCCAAACATTACAAACTGTAACCCATTTCACATTGCTGCAAATATATTTGTCTGTTCATCCTCCCATGCGTTTCTGTGAATAAATACACAAACCATAATCGGTGTACTCACATATTCCCGTGTGCTTGTGTGTGTGTGCATGTGTGTGTGCGCATTTCTTAAGTGAGGAATTCAGGCTGTAATTGAGACACGCAGACAATATGTGTTCTATTGAGTGGATGTTTCATATCATGTGGGTTTGTAATGAGAACCTCTGGTTGCTTACAGAGCCATGCTAGGCAGGCTTTTTAAGGCTTATGTATTCTTATGTGTTTTTGCGGCCAAATCACCACAGATTTCAAATGTTTTTGCCAAAAGCTGCACTTGTCTGCTTTTCCAGTGGTCACGTAATGTGCTGCTTTGTGTTGAGCCGTCTTCCTGTCAGCCATACTCAACAGCAAACGAGTAGTCAAATCCACACTAAGATCTTTTTAGCAATTTAATATTAATCTGCTTGTCTGATGTATAATTATTAGAAAAATGTAATTATGTCATCCAAGTGAGCGGATTACAGAGACCTCCTAGTGGTGGATTAAAGGAACAAATCAAAAACGAAGGACATTCTCATAGTGTCTGTTTCATCCATCCAGCGCTGCAAACAAAAGCCGGGGCCTACCTGCTAAGCCCCACTTTGATTTGATTGGAAAATGGCCTCTAGTGGAAGCTCCGATTGGATAAGCAACAGTGTGTTGTACTCATGCCAGCTTGGAGCAAAGATGCTGTCACTTATTCCAGTGTTTTTGTACGTATGTGTGTCTTTGTGTATTTGCTATTAATTTGGCTAGTGTGTTGTTGGCATGCTGGGTATGTGTGCTGGAAGTGGGGCAGAAACAAAACAAAGCAGGAGGTAATAGACAACACATGGAACAGGATGAAGAAGTGAATGAAAGCTACATAACAGATTCTCAGTTTCTGTGTCCACGTACCTTTTTTCTGGCCTACTACTTCTATCATGTTTCTGTATGTTATGTCCATTTCTACGTGTTTGACTCTGGTAGTCACCAGTCAGTTATTGCTGACCGCCTCATATTATTAAATGTTACCTCAGTAAGAAATGAGCAGGGGAAAAAGTTTATATAAGATATCGGTGATTGATGGAATGCTAATGATATTTTTTCCCATCAGCTCCACATGGTGCTATGGTACACATCTGGACCACAACAGATCTGCTGCTGTGGACCTGATTTATTCCTCCTCATGCCTTCATACCTGAATTTTATTTTTTAAAACTAAGCAGGCATTTATCAGAGCGGCACTTTCTGCTTGGCAGGATTTCACATATTTAAAAGTCGATAAATGGAAAAAGAAGGGAGTATAAATGTTATCAAAAGCAGTCACATATGTGTGCACCAATATTAAAATGTTTTCAGTCTACTTGCAGATTTATTTTCAAGATACTCACTTAATGCATTCCTGGTACTGGGATGTTTGTGAACAGGTTATGGAGTCACTAAGCATTCAGTCTACAGCAGTATTTTCCTTGAATTTTGCACATTTTAGATACTCCACAAGCTACTGGTCAAACTCTCAGCTCATGTCACACTTGGCAGAATGTGTTGGGGCACAATATCGCTCTTTCAGGTTGGCCTCATTTGTATTTATGTGCAAGCGCTTCAGGTCATGTTTCATGATTGTGTAGCGGGAGTAAAATGCAAGCCATTACTCTGCCTCTCCAGACAGTTGGGTCTTTAAAACATGAGAATATCTGTTCGGTCAGGTGCAAACAAGACAAGGCTGTACTGGGAGAAACTGGGTTTTACTACTTAAAAAAATCTAATTTTTCAGTTTAAAGTGTAAGAATGGGCTTCTCTGTAGATAAGGTCCACTATAATGGCAATGGTAATAGTGTTTTGCTCTTCATACTCTTAAAACCCTAAGCTATATAGTAAGGGGTGAAAGGGGGTAACTTTTTTTCAGCAAAAGTTAGAATTTACACCCTTCCTGAGTTTGTATCTTGGATTTGCAGTGGGACACATGACAGAATCACTTTCTTAAGTGTAACCTAGTTTTCAACAAACCTGCAGAATTCTTACATTAAAGCATAACATATTAGATTACTTGATGTTTCCCAAACCATTCACAGAATCACAGTAAAAGGTGCACAATGAAATGTACAAATATGTAACCACTTATTGGATTAAAAAAAACTGATAAGGTCTACTTACTTGGGTATGCATTACAGTGGACAGAGATCAGCTCACTGCACTGTCATTCCAGTCTGTGTCTAGAGGAGTTGATTTGTATCTACTGTGCCTATCAGTTCTGTCCAAAGCAATAACACAGTAGAGATATTAATCAGCTGAGTTATTTTAACTAGTCACGGCAGGCTTAACTTGGAAGATGGATTTGGAGAAAATGGAGGGATGTAGATGTTGCCGTGCTGGAGGCAGAACTTTTGTGGGGGGAAATCCCATGTTAATGAAAACACTATCCTTGGCGAGTGACTGGTGTTGATATCCATTCAG